AGTCACATTCCTAGGCAGCCTTTCCCAGTTTGGCACAACCTATACAGACCTCAGATGAAGGCTTGTTCCTTCATGCATCGCCAAATATGATGCACAGATGATACGTGCAGGAATTTCACGTGCTCATGGTTCTTGAGCCTGCTCTGAGAATGAAAGCACAGGTGGATTCCAGAAACAGAGGTCAGAAAGATTTTATTTGTAGAGAAGAGAAGAGAAAGACTGCATGGTGGGGAATGCAGAGGGACCAAGAAACCAGTGGTCTCGTGGGTCAGATTGGAGATTGGGTTTTTATAGACTTTTTGAGTATTGCCTGAGGGCAGAGATGTCTCTCAGGTGCAGAAAGAAGTTTCCTGGGAAGGAGAGGTGTGTCCTTGACCACTTATCACCTTTTGGGACTCTTGCAATCTGTCCTTCATGAACAATCCCCACATGGTGAAGGTCTGGTTTTTTAGCAACTGACCTGGTAGCCAATCCACACAGCAATCATCCAAACTAGCCAACCTCCACAGCAGTCAGATCAGAACAGCCTAAAATTGGCCCACTGCTAGTTCCTCTATCTTTAGCCTCCACTTCCAATTCAGCACAAACCATTGAAAGTCAAATATTTTCCCCAAACTAATCACCTAAGATGCCCTGCTTCTACAGATTTCCCATGCCAAGAATTTCCAACCAGGGCATACCTGAAGCTTCCTTGTATTTTTTTACATTATAAAGTTTTCTCACTCCTTGCATGCATTGAATAAATAGCCCCTGATTGTTCTTAGTTGGCTGGTCTTTATTATCACAAGTGCAAAGCCCTTCATCTTCAAGAGGAGGAAACCAAGATGCTATGACAGTCATGAATGTTAACTTGCTCTCAAATGCTTTTGTAGTGTTTGAGTCTTGTGGCTCAGATTGTGTCATCCATCAATATCCATCCTCCTCTTCTTCCTTAGTAATAGAATCCACAAATTTTAGCTGAGACCATTGTGCTGAGGACAAAAACTGTATTTTCCAGTCTCCCTTGCCAATTAGCCATGGCCCTGTGACTAAGTTTTGCCAATGGTCTACAAGCAGAAGTGATGTAAGTACAGTCTTAATGTTTGTGACTTGTCTATTTGAATAATAATTGTAAAAGCATTTTCGTGTTGATTTGTTTGAGGCTTTATACTTATATAATAAAGACCTTGGCTGCCATTTGTCCCTGATATGTCCTTGGGCAATTTTTGTTTTTGTTATGATGACAACAAAAATTGTCATCATAAACAGCACTTTCCTGAGTTCTGAGAGTGATTCTAACCTACAATACTGGTAGGAACTTCTGAATTTGCAGCCAGCTTGCAGAAATGATGGCAGCCTGGGGACCCCTGAATCTTAGCTGTTGTCTAAAGGGAGGGAAGCCTTGTGGGTATGTCCTTAACCTATGAAGTTTGGCCTAACTCTGGGCAGTTGGTAACAGAAATTATTATAGGGCTACAAAGTTAAAGAAAAAAAAAAGCACTGAATTTATACAGTGCTCTACAGTGGAACCTTTGGATTTGAAAAATAACCACAGGGAGCTAGGCTAGGTGGCCAGCCTAGGCTACATAGAGACCCTGGTTGAAAGAAAGGAAGAAAAAGAGAGGGAGGGAGGAAGTTAGACAGAAGGAAGAAAGAAAACTATAGGAAGCAACATTACATTTTTCTAAGGAAATATTTAATTGGAAATTTTCTAGAAGGAAAGACTTTCATTGAGTACAAAAATGTGAAGTAAATCAGGCTGGCTGAAAAAACAGAGCAATGCAAGTTATTTTCCACATTAACACATTGTTAGAGAGCACCTGTTGTGTGCTCAGTTCTCAGAGGAAGTATGAAACATGGCCTGCAGCAGTTGATAGTCTGGTTCAAGAAACAAGGAAGTGGTGAGATGATTAACAAAAAGTTAAATAGATTAAGACAGTGCTAAAAGTTATCACAAGTTCAGATACCCTCCATTTTTAAAAACTTAAATAATTGCAAGTAAGACATGACTGCACGTCAGCATTCAAGAGCTCTTCCCTGAGGATGAACAGGAATTTGTATAGGGTGATGACTAACTGATTAGTCAGGGTAGATGGAGAGTGCAGTCCAGGCAGAACAGCTTAGGTAAAAGTTTGCAGGCTGGGCAGGACAGAACATGTCTGAATTATGGTAACTGAGATAGTTTATTGGCAATAGATGGTCTTGTCAGGAGCAACAGGAGGTGGAGCAGACTAAAGAGAACACTGAATAATAACCTAAGGAGTGAGGATTTATCTTGTAGGCAGCACGAAGGATTTCAGGTAGGGGACAGCAATAGACTCAAACTGAGAATGGTTAACATAACAGGGATACATAAGAGGTAGAGACAGCTTCTTGGCCAAGACTAGTTACAAAATTGTTATATTGGCATCCAGGTAGATAAGGTATTTGGGTGAATGTTAGAGTACTAGAAAAAGGGGAGAGATGGAGCAATTAAAGCTGTTTCTAATGTAAAAATATTTACTATTTCTGGTCTTGTGAACCTTTGCTCTCAGGAAAGAAATGGCTTTGATTTTAGTCTTCAAGACTGGCATCCTAACGTCAACTGCCAAGGTTCCTCTAGATCTAGATGCCTTGTGTACGTCCTGTGTTCTCCCCTCTGCCTTGGCCCATCTCCTGAAACTTTAGATTCAGCCTATCATCCTGGAGCATATTAAGGCCTTTAAATGCTTGAAGGACTATTCTGATATAAGTTATTCCTTATTGGGCAAGATTCCTGGTCTTTGTTTCTCCACCTAAGTTGCAGAGGCAATAAGATCTCTGAACTTAAAAGAACCTGACAAGACTCTGAGACCCAGTAAGTTTAAGGGTAACTACTGCAGAAAATATTATTTTAGCAATAGTGGCATATCGGCATATTTTATTTTAAAAAACAATTTTAATTTGGTATAATTTACATATCAAGTTTATCCATTTTAAGTGAATTCAGTGATGTTTTCAGTAAAATTACCAAACTGTTTAATCATCACCATAATCCAGTTTTAGGACACTTCCACCACCCCTGTAAGACTGGTCACTCTTATTTGCCACTACCAGGACACCACTAATCTAGTTTTATCTCTGATGATTCACCTTTTCTGGACATTTTCTGTAAATGACCATATAATATTTTCTCTGACATCTGTCTTCTTTCACTTAGAATAATGTTTTTGTTTTTGTTGTTGTTTTGCAGTACTGGGGCTTGAACTCAGGGCCCAAACCTTGAGCCATGCCACTCCACCAGTCCTTTTGTTAGGTATTTTGATAGGGTCTCACAAACCATTTGCTTGGGCTGGTTTCAAACCATAATCCTCCTGATCTCTGCCTCTTGAGTAGCTAAGATTACAGGCATGAGCCACTGGTGCCTAGCTTAGAAAAATGTTTTTGAGGGCTTTATTTTTTAAAAAAATATTCACAGTTCAATTATTTTAACATTTAAATGTTTCATTTCAAAAATTCCAAATCTAATAGCATGAAGAAGATGTGATAAAATTTTTTGCTCAGACATAGATCACTCCATTGCTTTATAGAAATGGTAACCTGCTATAGAGAAACAAGTGCATGGGAGTATTGTACAGGGAAGGATTTCAGTCTCTCCACCCCCAAACTGTAGCTACAAATGAAAGAAGAGATGCCCAACCTAGGCAGATGTGTAAGCTGAAGTATGGCACTTTCTGAAGGTCAGTTTCCTTAGCTCTAAAATATGGTTGAGAAGACTGAGCATGTAACACAGTGGTAGAGCACTTGCTTAGCATGCATGAGGCCCTGGGTTTAATCCCAGTGCCAAAAAAGATGAAATGGTTGGGCTAGATTACCGGTGGTTCCCCACCCAGTTCAGTTTCCTTCCTTCTTGCCCACTGTAACACCCTGAGTAACAGGATGAGTAACAGTATAGGGAGCCAGAACACAAGCGTGATTGTACAAATGGCCCCACCAGGTAGAAAAATCACCAAGGTGACTTCTCAGCTCCCTTTTGGCTCCAGGTTTATGAATCTCAAGTCTGAAAGGAACACTCCTCGCATTCATTTTAAGTTCCTAGACATTGTCTTTGAGATAAAGACTTACTGAGAACTAAATTATAGTTGTAGGTTTTCTCAAATTTTAAGAGCTTCTCTAGTATAAATTCTCTGTTGTGCAAAAAGAGTGAAACATCTGCCAAGGCTGTCCCACCTGCACTATGTTCCCAGGATTCTCTGAGGTACGCAGGGATAAGGTCTGGCTGAAGGCTCCCCACATTCACCATATTCATAGGGTTTTTCTTAAATATGAATTCTCTGATGCTTAATAAGGGGTGAGCTCTGAAAGTCTTCCACATTTACTGTTTCATAGGGATTCTCTCTAGTATATTTTCTTGACTTTTACTAAGGGAAGAAGTATACTGAAGGTTCTTCTGTACTTGCCATACTTGTAGAATTCTTCTCCAGGATGAGTTGCCTGTTTTTGTTTTTAAGGAACAATATGTGACTAAAGCCTGTGTTATACTCTTTACATTGATAAGACTTCTCCCCACTATAAACTGTCTGGTGCTGAAAATTGCATGTTTTCTGGCTGAAACATTTCCACATCCATTACATTCACATGTTTTTTTTTTCTTTTTTTTTTTTTTTGTATTTTCTCAGAATCTGTTTTATTTTTATTTTTATTATTGTGTATTAATTTTTACAAGATAATTGGTTTTGTTATGACATTTTCATATGTGTATACAATGAACCTTGATCATATTCACCCCCAATTTCTCACTATTGTCTTCCTCCTCTCTCCCACTTGTCCTCCCCAAATAATCCCCCTTCTATTTTTGTCTTTTTTTTTAAATCTAGATTCTGCATGTGATAAAAACAACATTCACATGTTTTCTTACCAGTATGAATTCTCCAGTGTTTGATCAAAGAGGGGCATGACTAAAAGGGCTTCTCTTTAATATGCACTGTCTAATGTTAACCAACATGTGTCTACCAACCCAAGGTCTTCCCACATACATTTCATTTACAGGATCTCTCCAATACAATCTCTGAGGTTTGGTGTTCTGTGTCGCATAGCTGAAAGCCTTCCTACATTCACTGAGTTCATAGGGTTTTTTCCCAACATGCCTTTTCTGATGCTTAATAAGGGATGCAGTATGAGCAAATGCCCTTCCACATTCATTACATTTGTAGGGCTTCTCTCCAGTATGAAATCTATAATGTTGAGTGAGAGATGAACTCTGGCTGAAGGCTTTCCCACATTTATTACATTTGTAGGGTTTCTCTCCAGTATGAAATCTATAATGCACAATGAGAGATGAACTCTGGCTGAAAGTTCTCCCACATTCCCTACATTCATAGGGTTTTTCTCCAGTATGAGTTCTCTGATGTTTAATGAGGGATGAGGTATGACCAAAGGCTCGTCCACATTCATTACATTTGTAGGGCTTCTCTCCAGTATGGAATCTATAATGTAGAACAAGAGATGAACTCTGGCTGAATGCTCTCCCACATTCACTGCATTCATAAGGCTTTTCTCCAGTGTGAGTTCTCTGATGTTTAATAAGTGATGAAATATGGCCAAAGGCTCTCCCACATTCACTGCATTTATAGGGCTTTTCTCCGGTGTGACATCTCTGATGGCGCCTTAGTTCTGACTGGAAATGGAAAGACTTCCCACATTCATTACACTTATAGGATTTCTTCCCTGGCTGAGACCTCCAAGAGTTGCTTCTTTCTAAAGTCTGTCTGAATTCTGTATCACATTTATAGGATCCTTCTCCTGTGGCAACATTGTGTTTGTTAAGGTTAGGATTAAGGACTTGTCTTAAGCCTAAACTTCTCCCAAATTCTCTCCATTCATGATCTCTCCAAAGGGTGGTAGTAGATTTGTGAGCAGTTGGCATTTCTTTCAGATGTATCTGTTTTATATACTGCATCTCTAACCTTTGGCCATCACAATCACAGGCTACTTTCAGTTTAGAAGACCAGAGCTCATCTTGAATGTGTTTTTCCACTGATGCTACCTGGAATAACTCTTCAGAAGTTCCCTGACTTGACAATGATTCCTTGACTTTAGGGCTTCTTTTCCAGTCTGTAGGGGAAAGAAAAGACACTGCTCTGTTTGCCAAGAAGTAAACAATGACAGTAAGAAACTTAAGCTTTAAATAACATCTAGAATGGTATGCAGATTCTTTTAAAAATGGCTATGTCAGAATAAGTGACAAAGAGGTAGCTGAAGATTCACTAAGAGAATTGTGTGTGATTCCAGTACACAAGTTAAGTCCAAAAGCTGTATAGACGAGGGGAGGAAGGAAGGGTGACAAGAGAACAGACTAAATATAAAGGATGAGGACAAAGAGAAACAGGGAAAGTATAGGGCTGTGAGTTCCCTGGGTTTAGACTCCATCTCACAATCTCTCCAAGCCTGGATAACTGACAAATTTCTATTGTCCTCCTACCTCCAGTTTCTCCTGAAGCCCCTCATCATGTCCATCATTCTAAAATATCCCTTTCTTTGTGTTCTTCCAAGTCTTAATCTTCCAAAGGATCTCTACTGCCTATAGGACAACCCTAAATTTTCTCACTCCAGTCCTCAGTACTTAACCAGGGTCTGTCCTTTCTTTAGCAAGTCCTGTTAGCACTTGCTCCGCTTTTCTCCCTGCTTCCCATCTAGCCACACTTAACTTCATCCTCTCTTTCTCTAAGGCTCTGGACATCATTCAAAGACAAGCTCGTCTTCCAGTATACTTCCTCAAGACTGCAGTCTACACCATGTTATTGTGTATTGTACACATGCAGATATGTCCCATGTTACTATGTCATTAAGGACACATAGAAGTGCATTTTTGAAATGAGCCAGTCTAATCACCTGAGTCCTTAACATTAGAGAATATTTCCTGGTTGAGAAGAGAGACAGTGTGAGAAGGACTCTACCCAGCATTGCTGGCTGGCTTTGAAGGTGGAGGAAGGGTACCATGAGTATGTGGCATGCAGAAGCAAGCCTCAGTTTACACACAGTAAAAAAAAATAAGGACCTCAGGTTAGCAACTACAAGTAATTGGATCTGCTAACTAATCCAGAAAATGGGTTCTCCTTTAGGGACTCCAGAAATGAACACAGCCCTGTGGATACCTTGGATGTAACTACATGAGACCCATATCAGACTTCTTACCTACAAACTAGAAGATTATAAGTTTGTGTTTAAGGACACAAGGTTTGTGGGAACTCATTTCAGCAACAACAGAAAACTACATAATACTAATAATAATAATTCTGAAGTTGTAAATGACTGGCAATACCTAACCAGGGGTCCCAGAGCCTGTCCTCAGAGAGATCTCATATGGCTCCTGGGGATCTGAATGTCTAACAAGTCCTATGGAACATTCTGAATGTAGCCATGCTTTGGACCATATTAAAAGAGACACTGATTATAAGACTAACCCACGTGTCAGAACTTTGATCTTATTCTGAAGGGAGTAGAATTATAAAGTAGCAATACAAAGGAATCAGTTGGGTGCCAGTGGTTCACACCTATAATCCTCGATACTCAGGAGGCAGAGATCAGGATATTGCAGTTTGAAGCTGGCACAGGCAAATAGTTCCGTGAGACTATTTCAAAAAACCCCTTCACAACAATAGGGCTGGTGGAGTGGCTCAAGGTGAAGGCCATGAGTTCAAGCCCCAGTTACCACACAAAAAAAAAAGAATGAGCATCTTCCCTTTCTGTCCTACAGTCTAGGTTCCTATGATGAGACCCAGCTTATCAGCTCAGGATGTGAGCACCACTTTCCTGAGATTCAGCCCTCATCCATGGGTTTGGTTCTGTCTTCAAGGTGGACAATAGCTGTCATAAACTGTCACCCTGTTCAGTATGCTTGGCCTATACACAGTAGTCCAGAGCTTGGAGTCCAGAATTTTGCTTCAAGGGGTGGAACCTACAGATAGTCTTAAGTCACCTTAGGAATCAAAGAATGCCATCAACAGCTGGTAAGTAGTCCTTATTCTGGGAACCACTTCTGATGAGGTTAAATTTAATCAAGATTGAAGTGTCCCCTGTCTTGATCTTTCTGGCATACTCTGTCTGCCCTTGCATGTAATCTTTTCATTCTGGGCTGCTAGTGGTTCTATTTAATCCCTCACTGATTCCCTTAACCCTACCGATACAAGACTGTCTGGCCATATACAATTGTTGATCCATTTGATGTTGAATGTAAGACATCTAATGGTGCTGCGTGGCACCAATAATGCAGAATGGCAAATGTGGGTGCCAAAGAAAGGGAAAACAGTAGAAAAGAAAGTGAACATCTCCTTTTCTGACACCAGAAATGTAATTCAAAATACTGGAGTTGAGGGCTCTTACCAAGTGGCCTTATCTTTTTTATTTATTTATTTATTTATTTTTTATTCATATGTGCATACAATGTTTGGGTCATTTCTACCCTCTCCCCCCACTCCCTCCCTTACCCCTCCCGCCCCCCTCCCTCTCCCCCCAACCCCCTCGCTAGCTGGCAGAAACTATTTTGCCCTTATCTTTAATTTTGTTGTAGAGAGTATAAGCAATAATAGGGAGGACCAAGGGCTTTTGCTAGTTGAGATAAGGATAGCTATACAGGCAGTTGACTCACATTGATTTCCTGTGCATGTGTGTTACCTTCTAGGTTAATTCTTCTTGATCTAACCTTTTCTCTAGTTCCTGGTCTCTTTCTCCTATTGGCCTCAGTTGCTTTAATTTCTCTACATTGCTTTAGTTTCTCTACATTGCTTTAGTTTCTCTACATTGAGGGCAAGAAATGCTGTCTAGTTTTTTAGGTGTCTTACCTATCCTCATACGTCCCTTGTGTGCTCTTGCTTTTATCATGTGCTCAAAGTCCAATCCCCTTGTTGTGTTTGCCAAGTGGCCTTATCTTAAAGGATAGCCCCTGACCAAGGATTCAGGGCAACATCACACTCCCAGCTGGGCCTTATTATGTGCAGTGTTACTTGGTATCACTAACTCACCTGAATGGACTCCAAATGGAACTTCTCTGTCCAGCACACAGGGCATTTCTCCTTCCTCCAACTGAGAGATCACATATGGTTTAGACACTGGAAGTCCTGATAGTAGAGAAAGAAAAGGATCACAGCTATGTGTTCTGGGGCCAAGTCTTTGGACGCTGATCATCAAAATGCAGAGAATAGCCATTGTGAAACATCAGAAGCAGAGTCAGGAAACTTCCTATTTCAGCTCCATAAGAAGTAGAACTTCTACAACTAAGAGCAAAACTACTGTAACTCTGCGTCTCAAAGAGAATCTAAATGTCTGATTCTAGAACCTCAGGGCAAAACTCAGCCAACAAGCTCAGAGCCCCCTAGCTTTTAAACACCAAGGAAATCAAGACGCCCTCATGGGCAGGCTTTGGGTTTAAGAGAGCTGTACTCACCCAGGGAGACCAGGTTGCTGAAGTTCTCCAACATCACCTCCCTATATAGGTCCTTCTGATCAGGGGCCAGCTGCTTCCACTCCCACTGGGTGAATTCCACAGCTACATCCTCGAATGTCATCAGGTCCTGAAACAGAAGACATTCCTGTGCCCTCAAGGAGAACACTCAAACCCTGGGGAAAAGGTAATAAGGCATCTGAATAGTACCTCCGGATGTGCAAGAGGGGATTCTAAGAGTTTCTAGCTACCCAGTGCCGGAGGGTTTTGGGCTTTATCATTTAAAAAATATTTTAGCATGCTCCAGGGATTTTATAATCCTTACTACTTGATATTCCATCCAGTGCTCTTGCACTGGAAAATCAGACCTACAGATACTTTCTGCTTAGGTGAGAGAGATGAATACAATCCTTTCCTCATTTCTTAAGAGATTTTATTCTCAGTTTAGTTGCATTTTGTTGGGAGCTACTAGAATTAATAGACTAACATGCTTTGCATTCGCAGTTATACAAGTATAAGCAGTCTGCTAATTAAATATTTTTGAAACTTGTGAACTATAATTTTAATGAGTTTTTATTATGCCTAATCAAATTTGGGGCTTACAATAATTTATCCCTCTACCTGTCTGCCAGCACAAAGTTCAGCAAAAGTAAATCAAGTGGCCTCATAACAAATCAATAAGTTTTGTGAGTTTGATCAGCATGAATCTTTTCTCACAAAGTCTAGTCATTTTTCAGTACCTGAATCTACAATGCTGTGTGCAAGACCCTCAATTCCAGGTCACCAATACAAGGTATAACCAACCATTCCATAAGTTTTGGTCAGATATAGCTTATCACCAACAACAACTATAACACCTCCTATTTGTGTGGTAAACCATATAATATGAACTAAAAACCAGAATCAACGAAGGTAGTATAAATTTCTGTTACTTTTACCCACAAGTGCTTAAAAACCAAATCCCACTTTCTGGATACTGGTGAGCCCTGCCTGTAATCCTAACTTCTTGGGAGGCTGAGATTTGGAGGGTTGCAATTTGAGGTGGCCAGGGAAATAGTTCACAAGACCCCCATCACCAAAATAACCAAAGCAAAATGGAATGGAGTGTGGCTCAAGTAGTAGAGAGCGCCTGCTTTGCAAGTACAGAGCCCTGAGTTCAAACCCAGTTCCACCAAAAATTTAAAAAAAATCAAATTCTACTTAGATACTGAATCTGCAGAACAAGTGAAAATAACAACCTTATATTAATGTAAAAGCCAGCCAAAATAATCAAACAAGGAAAATATCCTCTGGCTCTCTCTATAGGACTGAGCTTCCTATCTCGCCCACCTGGGTGTGGCTGGATAATCTTTTTTCACAAATGGAGTGTGAAGGAAAACCAGGAACTACATGTGGACAAAAGCTTTCAGAGCCATTTAGGGTCTTATAATTCCTCTTTTCCTTCTGCCTGGAGAATGGCAAATGATCCTAGGGAAGAGGATGTGGAGAAAAGTCATGGCTGGAATGTCCTGGGGGCAAGAGCTCAACCTCGTTTGATACCTCTGAGTGATGGCTATTGTTATCATAGGCATAACTAGCCTAAATTGGCTCATTAAAAACTAGACTCAAAATGGGATTCTGCCATAACAAAAGTCTAAAATATATGACACTGACATCAAAGCTGTGCAGCAAGGAAAATTATTGATGTACTAGCAACTCATTGTTGGTGGCGACTTGGTGATGAGCTGTTTGGCAAAATATTGCCTGCGGTAAGTTGAAAGACATAATTTAAGAACGAGCTTGTGATTTTATGACAAGAGGCTGGAAACATAACACTGGAAGTGTGAGATGGTTGTTATTGCCTGCATTTGACAAAGCATGACAAGGAAATACAGGAACTCAAAGAGTTTGCTGGTTTATAAAACAAAAATGGAAGGTCCACAGGAGGTGTCCAGAAGTGCCAGGGCTTGCATGGTTGCAGACTTAACCAATTTTCATTTTCAACTGGACAAAGACAATAGACATAAGATTTTTGCATGACAAAGAATGATTAAAAAAAAAAACCCTCAGCTTCTTCTGCAGGGCCAAATCATGAGTGTGGTTGTCAAACTGCTTGTTTCAACTTCTGAATAATTTCAGATGGCCCCTGATAAGTCCTTTTAATGGGACCAGATTGATCAGCATGAAAAAAATGTATGGCCATATTTCAAAAGAACGTATTTCAAAAAGAACTGTGGGTGAAGCTAATGACACATGGAACCAACTGGAAGCAAATACATGAAAAGCTGATTAAGGTTTTGAGAGCTGCACCAAAATATTCATAACTTAAAAACAATCCTACTCAAGCAGGGTGAAAAACTGCTTAGTCCCAAAAGAGTTTATCCTCCAATGTCGTCCTCCTATGTGAGAAGGAGGATACTAGAAAAGAAATTTCCTAAGAACATAGCCAACAGCTAAGGAGAACAATAAGCTGGGGAGCTCTGCCTAGAGCAGAACCAGGTATAACCCAGAAACTTTCCCTTTCCCAAGATCAGAGACTCTGCCAGTACCTGTCCAGTAGAGTTTCATAACAGCTACGGATGGACCTGGGACTACTGGGCTCCTCTCATGTTTCTGATTTCTGAAAAGAAATGCTCATTGTGGTCTCCCTGTCCCCATTGCCCCACTGAATGCTGGAAATATAGTTCATAGGACTCTAGCTAGAGGATAAATATCCAAACCCAAAGCAGACACTATCATGCCATCTAAAACTTTGGTCACAATACTCTGATTGGATGAGACTTTTAAATTCTCTCTTGGGGAAGCATTTTTTACATCTATGAGTAAGAAAGCAAACAGTGGAAGCTGAGCGCCGGTGGCTTACACCTGTATCCTCACTACTTAGGAGGCTGAGATTGGGAGGGTGGAAGTTCAAGGCACATGCTTGTCATCCAAAGCTGTGCGGAAGGCTGACATCAAAAGGATTACAGTACCAGGCCACCTAGGCAAAAGAAGTTTGCAAGATCACATCTCAATGGAAAAAAACTTTAATGGTAGGCATCTTTCATTCCAGTCATGGTGGGAAACATAACGTAAGACTATCTCCAAAATAAACAGAGCAGAAAAGGACTAGAGGTATTGCTCAAGCAGTAGAGTGCCTGTATAGTAAGCACAAAACCCTGAGTTCAAGTCTCAGTGCCATCAAAAAAAAGAAAGAAAAGAAAACAGTGGTATGGCATCCTGGGTATCAGAGTCCTGTCCCCGAATGATTATGACTAGAGCTCAGTCACATTATTTTGTAGTCACACACAGAGTCCGTTACCGAAATAGGCCATGTAAACCCAAAAGATTCAAGTAAGTGAGTGTATGCCAGGAGAGGGACGCTTATGGGCTCAGCCTCCTGCAAAGCAGAAATTGTAGTTAGTTCCCTTTGGTGAACAGAGAGGTTCTAAGAAAAAGGAGGGAAAGCTCTCTGTAGTTCAGGCATTTGAGGAAAAATTAAGAAAACCCCAACTTACCTGGGTCCTAGGTTTCAGGAATAAACTCATTGCTTCCTTTTCTTCTGGGCATCTCTCTGTAGGAAAAGCAAGAGCTGTGTAGGTAAAACCAGCCAAAAGGGAGGCTAAGCCTATGGCATAGACAGCTCCCAGATTCCCCAAGCTGGAGATTCCTACATAGCAACAAGGGTTACCTCTATGGTTCTGGGGACACAGGTGGGCCAAGGAGAGCTGTGGCAGCTTCTTGGCTGGGTCACACCAGAGAGAAGTGCCCCTGTACACAGCTATGTGAGGCTTCCACCTGTCCACAGCAGACTGCAGGTAGATGGAGTGTAACTACAGTCTGACTGACCACCACACTGGTGAGTTAGTGAGCCTCCTGTATGCAGGTCTTCTGCTAGATCTTTTGGCAATATAAACATGAAGAAGATCTTCAAGGAAGTTTAAATATGGTGGGTGGGTATAGGGCAGGTTAATAACTACAGAACAAGACCCAAGGCAAGGCCATGGAGGGGATGAGGCTTTAAGGGGAAGAAATCTCTTCACCCTCATCCTTAGGAGCCCAGCTCAGAGGTCAGATCTTCCTGAGAAGCTGCTTCAGTATTCTCAAGCATTGTTAGGTCTCTGCAGCACATCTATTATAGCGCTTTCTATCAAATTGTTCTTAAAGCCTTTGTACAAAAAAACTAGCCCAAATCATGCCAGAGAAGTAGTTAAGGCTATGCCCACAACAACATGGAAATAGCAGGTGTCACTGGCACCTCACAAACTTTACCATGCATATGTTAAATTCTTGTTTCAAGACTTGTTAAGACTCTGGTTCAGTGCGTGTAGGGCAGGGCCTGAGACTCTGCATTTCTAGAAAGCTTTCAGCTGATGCCTGTGCTGCTGGTCTATGGGCCACACTGAAAAGGGCATAAAGGAATAAAAGAGGGAGAGGCCCCAGAATCTGGGCCATTGGCCATTTTTGTGACCTTGAGCAGGTGTGATGAAGCATAAACAGCCCAATTACAATGCTTACCTGGTAAATGATAGAGCAACTAAACCTACAAAGGAATAGGTTAAAACCTCCCAGTTCACCTGGCCCCAACACTGAGGGGGGTATAACTCCCAGGAGGTGCCTACCTGGCACACTGCTAACCTGCCCAGCTCAGCTAGAAGAGCTGGGAGAAAGATCCTTATTGATGAAGTGATTAAGGAGGTGGGTGACAAGGCTCCAAAAGGTCCTATTTTTCCTCTGATCTCTGCCCAAGGGCCACTCCCTGTGTTTTGTTTGCTTTCTCCCTGCCACAGCAGGGGGACAGCAGCTCATCTCCTGAGCTTCCCGTTTTGCTTTTGCCTTTGAGACAAGTTTTCTGTGGCCATCCCCCCACCTTTGCTACATTCTCAATGTTGGGATCTCAGCCTCCTGGTTTTGAAAAATTAGGAATTTCCACAAGAAAGGCAGCGGCAGGCTGTGTCCCTTCATTGGGATTACCCAGCCTCTTTGTAGGGTCCTCCTCCTACTAGGTCCAGTACTAAATCTCCAGGAGAGCTTCTAGCCCCTCTGCACACTCCAGAGCCAAACCTGATGCTGTGCAGTTCATAGCTGGAGCTATGGCGTCCTTTCACTGGTTCCAAATCCCTGCGTTTCAGGCGCAGTCCTGGGGTGCTCCAGAGGATTCAGGGA